CCCCACATTAGAGCCCGCTCAGAAACTGAGACTGAGGGGCTTAGGGGAGGTCTCTCCTTTTATTCTTGTCTCTTGCTTTTTGATGATTTTCTTAGTCGGACGTTTGGTCCTGGGCCGGGATTCGAGGTCCTTGTCCAGGACATCCCAAGCCCTAGGCTCTGCAGGGGAGGGGTTTTCCCTCGCGAAGAGCCTATTTGATTTACCTACCGAGACACTCAGGTCGAGATCCTAAGGTGCGGCGGCAGCTGCACGACTTTTCCTTCAACTGTGCAATGTCGTGAAGGGTTAGGCCCTCACGACACTTCAAGTCTGACACTTGAGTGTCATAAGCGATACTCGGATCCATGAGGGACCGCTTGATTATGGGCACTACATAGTACGCCATCATTGCGACTGCTTGTGTATGCCTGCATTGCAAGTCGACGTGAGTATGCCCTGCGTCCGCGCGGTTTTATACTAAGTTCAGCGCGCGACGCCTATCCGATTTCCGCACTGGAAAGTTATGGGTTGGCTACCGAGGGGCTAGGAGCGTTGTCGCGTTGTTGGTATTGTGTCGTTTCGTATATATGTTGTTTTGTGTGTATGTGTGTTCGTAAAGTGGAGTGCACGTGGTGTGTGGGATGCGTCCTAGTCGACCGAAGATGAGTCGCGCTTGGGACCTCAGCCCTCCCAAGATGTCGGTTCGCATGCGGGTCCGATAGAGGTGTATTACCGCGCGTACCCCCTATGCTACAGCAAACGAGAAACGCCCTTGGCTGGTCCACCTCTGCGATTGCAACTCATTAGCTTTCGTACTGTGGACTGGTAGCTCGGCGGGGATACACCCACCAAAGGGAGGTGACAGCTCCCGTAAGGTGTAGGTAAGTCGTGCCTCGCGTAGGCCCTATCCTGTCGTAGGGGCTCGCGAGAGGTATGGCTGGCGCACCCGGCCGGAGCGGCTTGTGGAAGCTCCATGTATATTGCGACGAAGGGTTCAAAAAACCAACTCCTGCGTGACGCGGCCGGGAGGGTCCCGCGCTGCCCCCGTGCGGTGTCGGACCGATGCGCCCGACACCGTTGTCATATTGGACATAAGATTGAATTTACCTGGGTTGGTTAGTCCGATGATAATACCTCAAGGCCATCGCCCTTTAAAAAAAAAAAAAGTGGCATTCAGGAGGTCTTGGGTTCAATCCCCATTGGCCTCATGTACCTTCCTGGGCATGCTTGGCGCCCGCCACCTAGAGATAGCCCGTTGGTCCCCCCAATTGGCATTAAAAAACAGTCTGTGCTGATGTTCATAGGGGGAGGGGTACTCAGGGAGCCACAGCGACTGGCCACTCAGACGATGCTCGGTCCCTCTGCTACCAGCGAACTTCTTTCTAGGCCTGCTCATACCAGGGAAAGAAAAAGGAAAAAAAGAAAAAGAAAAAGAAAAAGAAATTTGCTGAATACTAACTGAGCCACTCCAAACACCTATTCTGGCCGAGCCACTCTAACCACCTATACCGACCGAGCCACTCCAAGCATCTATACCGACCAAGCCACTCCAAGCACATGTACCGACCGAGTCATTTCGAGCACCTACCGACCGAGCCAATCCAAGCACCTACCGGCCTAGCCACTCGAAGCACCTTCCCAGCGAGCCATTCCAAGTTTCTACCAACCGAGCCACTCCAAGCACCCATACCGACAGGGCTACTCCAAGCAGTGCAAGCACCTATACGGACAGAGTCACTCCAAGGCCCTATACCAACAGGGCCACTCGAAGGCACACACACACACACACACACATGCACACACATACAGATACACAGACACAAAGACGAACAAACACACACACACACACACACGGGGGCACACACACACATACATAGACACACCTACAGACACATAGACACCTACAGACACACGCACACACACACACACGCGCATACACGCACGCATGCACACACACACGCACACACACATACATTGACGCACACATACGCATACACACACACACACGGGGGCACACACGCACAGACACACGGGGGCACACACACACATACACACACACACGTGACATGCACATGCACACACACACACATACACACACATATGCACA